CCCTCCCGAGCAACACGGCGCCATTCAGGTTTGCCAACCAACACAAGTGCGTTTAAACGAGTAGGCTAATGGCATGGCAACTTTTTTTTTTCACAACATTACGGATCCGGATAAAAAGGTAAGAATTTTGTAATGTCAAAAATTTGAAATTTTCAAAGTTTTTGACATCATGCTACTATTAAAATAATCAACATGGATATTTTTTCTTGATTTGTTTCTTTCAAGATAAAATTATTGTCTAGAACAAACTCGTTTTTCCTTGTTCCACGTAAGAATGTTTTTCAAGTTATGGAGGATTATTCACAAATATTACATTAATTTGTTGTATATTATAACACTTTAAACATAATTAACAGTTTTAGAGGTAGTTGCAGGAAGACACTTCAAGAGTTATTGAATTTTTCATTATTCATTTGAGAATTGTTTGCATAATTGTGAGTTCAATTTCCAAGTTCCATTTATTTTCCTTCTCTAATACTTTCCTACTCTGTCAGTGGGGAAAACTCGAGATTACTTTCTTACTGCAGTCTTTTTTTAAAATATGTATTTCAATCTTTTCATGCACATATTTTTCCAAAATGGTATTTTCAGTATTTTATTCGTACTATTGAGTGTATCTTTTCAGTTTTTGAAATGGTCATCAACTTAAGATGGAGAGAAGGTGCAATATATTATAATATTTCAGAACATAATTAAATAATTTGATAAATAATACGCTGTAATAAAATATCTTGATTTTTCTGCCTTAAATAGGGTTATAAATATTCAAATTTACCAAAAATAACATAAGTAATTTAATTTTTATTATAGAATATTTATTTGCAAAAAGTCATTCTCACACATCCCTAGCTTCAAAGTTTTATGTGGTAAGTAGGCTAAAAGATATGTAATAAAACACATTTTATATATAAATTAAGAGGGAGAAAAAAATAGTGATGATCTGAAAATTGATTAATTTTAGATTTTTGGCTCAAACTTTAGTTTTTTTGGCACAAAAAGAGAAGGTGGAGAAGGGACAAAAACAGAATAGGCGGTTTTAAGTTTCTTCTAATGGTACAGCGTACTAAAAATTGGTACACAAATATTTACATCTTTTCCCAAATATTATTTTTTTACCCAATACCAACAGACTCATTGTGTATGGGCCTCAGGTCTCGAGGTTTTAGTTCCATCTCTAATACGTTTGAACCGTCTGAGTTGCCTCAGTTGGTGTTGACACTGCAGCGATTCTGACTGCCAGGTTCTTGGGTTTGTGTCCCGCCGGTCATGAATTTTCGACACTAGCTAAATGGTTAGGTGAAATTCAATCGTAGTATGGAGTAGAATATTCGCGACACTCCTCTTATAGGTATTTCTGTGGTTTCCTTTTTTAAAAATGGCGAATGCTGAAGTAGTTTCCTAAAAAACAGGCCACGTATATCTCCTCTCTCACCCGGCAGTCACTTTCACTCCTCGTATGCACGCAATCGTACATGCACTTCGCTACCGCACGGCGGGAGACCAGTCACGGCATCGGATTTTGCCCCGGGCACGACGGTGGCCGGCTGTGGGAGGTAAATGGATGGGAAACATGAAAACATACTATTTTTAAAATTATGTTATTCACGTGATATATTAAAAAGTGTAAATGCATATGGAGAAAGTTTGCTACATGGCGGCCGAAACGTCGGCACGTGTGCTTAGAATGCATTGTCTCCTTGACTGCCATGTAGAAATCTTTTTTGCGCATAACTGTTTCTGTACAATTGGATACTATACCCAGAATAAAGAAGGAAAGATGTATTAATTTTAACAATGATATTTCATGAATTATTTACCATTTGAACTGTACAATTCTAAACAGCCTGTAAAATTATTGTGTCTGAGCTCCTGGGCTAACGATCAGTATCTCAATCAAGTTTTTCGCCCAGTTCTTTGATCCTTTTGGTGGATGGCTTCTTGTTTTGATTCTGTACGTAAATGTAACTTCAGAATCTGAGCACGAATTTTAGAATTCAATGGAAAATATAGTTACTGAAATTATCGTTCTACCTGTTGTCGCAACAGGAAGTAAATTCCTTCACAAAGGTCAGGATGAAGCACAAATCTATAGCCGATTTGTTCTTAAAAATAGATTTTATTACATCAGAGCGACCGTTTTCTCATAAATTTTTGCCAAAACGTGTTTATTTCCTATTGTATCCAGAATTCAACTTGTATATGGTGTAGCGTAGGGATACCAGAATTAACAAAACGCGAACAGAAAACACTTTTCCCCGTAGCTTGAAACACAGTTTTTGACCGTTTTTGGAGTAAAATAAAATTAAAATACGGTGATAGTAATCCTCAGTGGAGTCTATTCCTGGGCCCCCTACTCCATGCCGCACCGGTGACTAGGGCTGCGAAGGCATCTCGGTGAATTATCGTTGGCGGTGACCCGTGTCGACACCACGTCACCTGCCCGTCAGTCCGCATCGCGATGCCGTCTGGACAATGGCATTGGCTCATTAAAACTCACGCTCTGCGCGATCGACATTTACCGCCTCCTTAAGAAATCTGACGTTTGACTTATAAAGCCACTCAAGATTTTTTATTCAATCATGCCTGCAATGGTAATTTGGATCAGCGTTCAGTCTTTTGCATCTTGCGGCAAACTAAAGGGGAAATTTGAAATCTCGCAAGACATCCATGCGATATTAAAACTGAATTTAAAATATATATTTTAAAATTATTACACATAATATAAAACAAATTAAGTCACAAATGTAATGTAATTCAAGAAATCTTTTTCAATGTTTTATATACGTAATTTTCATTACATTAATTTTATAACTTTTTAATCATATAGGTGTTATTTATGCTGTCTCTGGAGATACATTTGCGCGATAAATTAAGTATAAAGTTGGTAAAATGATTCGAAATAAATATTACAAACATCTAGGTCTTATAGGGGGTCGAAGATTATTAATTTTTACTTTCTCGCACTTACTAACGTAAGAAGAGAAAGTATTTTAATCCTGCGCCTTAATACAGCGAATTTTTGACACGAAACTGCATTTTGTTGGGTCCTGGTAACGAAAAAGTACATAAATCCACTTGCTAAATATAGAAAACAAATTTCTCTAACACGTGATGTAGCTAGAATCCATGTTTTGTGAGTCCCTTATACCGACAAATCGATTGAGGACAAAAAAGCTGTCTGTACCTCTGTCCGTCTCCGTCTGTCCGCACATAAACCGTTCAGCCGATTTTCTCCAAAATTGATATTCCCTAATCTTTCTAGCTAATACCGCTGACCCTGGCATTTGAAATCGAAATTTTAATATTTGGATTTGCTTTACATGACGTCCCTGGGACGTTTTAAAATTTTTTAAAAAAATGGCTCTAAATTTTTGGATTAAATTTTGTTGTTGAATAGTTTAAGAGAATTGTGCAGGTCTCATTTTCGTTGGCATCCCCAATTTTTCGAAAATTGGAAAACAAATTTAAACTTAGAAATTGGAGATAAATATTTTTGTCTCACACCAAGTCGTTTGTACAAAAATAACTCTTTAAAAGAGCTCATGTACAATTTTTTCAAAAAACGAGTAGTTTTAGCGTATATTTCGATTGAAATTTAAAAAAAGATTCTCAAAAACTGCTCCAAATCTTTTCTTTAAATTTCCTTAACTTATGTAAATAAGACACGATACAAAATATGGTGCTAGTCAAATTTTTGAATATTGCTTGGTATTTTGAAAAGTTAAAAAAGATACATTTAAAAACTACAAAATTGAAGATAGAGATTTTTGCTTCAAAGGCAGTTGTAGAAAATAAGCTCTTTAAAAAGGAGCTTGTACAATATTTTCAAAAAGCAAGTAGTTTTAGCATTATTTCTGGTTGAAATAATGAAATATATACAGGTTTCGCACCAATTACGTCCAATGAGAAAACTTGAAGGAATGGTTCAAAAAATAATTAATTTAATTTTAATTATAATTTACAATTGAAAATGCTCATATTAATTCTATATTTCCATTTACTTTACTTTATTCTACAATTTATATTCTTAATGTATTGAGTATAATAAATTGAAGCTCAGCCGACGGTGTAATGATTTTCATCGTTCTTTCATAATGGAGGTAAATAATTTTCAAAGAGCTGCGTTATTTAGGACAACAATCATGAAAAAATAGCGTAAATAGCATAAGATAGAGAAATTTAAGCCTTCTAAGTGTGACGTCACAAAGATGTTCTAATGTGTTTGGCCATTAAGTGATCCATCAGCTGCAACCTGATGTTAAGCTAATAGGCCGATAATTTTTAACTTCAGATTGAGAGTCACCCTTATAAATGAAAACTACAAATGCTTCTTTCCAATCCTGAGGAAAACGTGAATTATTTAATGTAATATCAAAAAGTCGTAACAGATAAGGAATCATGAATTAAGGAATCATGCCGTCCGGGCCTACTTATTTATTATTTCTAATTCTTTCTATTCTTTTTGAAGTGGTCTGGTAATCATTCTTTCTCGCAACACGTCATTTCTTGCTGAAAATACAGAAACAAAAAAGGAATTAAAGAGTTCCGGTCTGTCTTTGTTTTCTGTAATTTTGTTTTTATTTGCATCTCTCAACATAGGAATGTCCTCCCCATTTCCTCGTATTTTTACGTATTTGA